TGGGTGCCAAACAGGGGCTTAATTTGTACAAGTTTACGCGTCAATCATGCTACATGCATAAAAATATTTGATAAATTTTTTGATAAATTGTCGATGACAATATTTTTTTTTTTTTTAAAAAAAACAAAGGTTAAATCAGTTAATACAGTATTTCCACCTCATCATTTCTAATATTTTTTGTACATTTCATCCCTATAAGAAACTTAATTTGCTTACGTATTCAATAGTTTCATTCATTAAACCTTCTCATTCAATTTCTATTATATATTTTTTTGCCAAATATTACATAATACTATTAAAAGAAAAAAAAATTAAAATCACAATCAGTGTATGTGCAATCATATTTAATTCAGTAAATCAAACAAGCTACAGGGTATGTTTGGTACGAATTGCATGAATTGAGCAACATAGAAGATTTTTAATTCTTTTCTCCTTAGCCCTTGTTCGGAGAGGTTTAAAATCAATATTTAATTTAAGTCAAAGTCAATAATTAATTTCAATGACATATTTTATGAGATTCACAATTTTTTAACCACACATTTTTATCAAATTTTAATAAAAATATGATTTTAATCTCCACCAAACAAGGGCTTAATGATATTCAATGTATGTTTCTTCTATTTAAAAGAGCTTGATTGGGAGAAATTTTTCAAAGTGAATTTTTTTTATTATATGGTTAAAAGAGTACAAAAGAGTTGTGAATCACATCAAAAAATATTTTGAAAATAATTTCGGAAAAATGATGTTTAAAAATCATTCCCAAACAAGCTCCAAGATATTATAGGCCACTTGAAGAGTTTTTCCACAATATTATTTTCAAACATCATTAAGCCCCCATTTGTTTCTCATTTTTCATCCATAAAAATGAAAAATATGACCGTTATCCATCACATCAAGTCATCAATTTTGAATTTCTATCTCTTGTGTGGGGCTTAATAACGATTATATTTTTCATTCTCATTCTACAATAATATGAATTAAACGGGCCCTAACCATGACTAAACCACCACCACAGAATTTGCTGGGTGTCAAGAGCCATATGTTTGACTAAACTTTTATTTTTAAACATATTAAAAACTCTACTTTTTATTTAAAATAAAAAAATTACTTAAACAACAAAAAGATATTTATTTAAAAATTACATATTCTCTTATACAAAACTCGCTTGAGAGAGGTTAAAGGAAGAATGATGGTTTTTTTTTAAAGAAAGTATAGAAAAGGTAGGAAAAATGATTGGCGTGGTTGAAAATAATTTTAAAAAATATAATTTTCAAATTATCTATTTATCATTTCTAATTTCTATTATTACAGTAAAAATGGAACTATTTACAAATAAATGACTAACCAAAATTTTCAAAATATCTTCCAATTATATACACGCAATAAAACACACACACACACACACACTCTCCCTCTCTCTCTTCCTCGTTCTCCACACAACTCTCTCTCTCTCTCTCTCTCCCCACAACACTTCTTTCAAATATATTTCTTAAGCTTTTGGTTAAAGTCGCCGGAAGACTTAGGTTGGTATCATCGAACGGGAAGGTAACTTTCAATGTAACTATTTATTTTTAACATTTCCATTTTTCTCTACAAGTATTTATTACTGCTAATAATATTATTTTTTAGCTCTTCAATTTTTTTCTACATCAGCATGCCATCTGTGGAAACCTTAGTGAAAATATAAACTAAGATTTGATTTGTGGCATTTACTTAAGTGAAAGTGAGTAATACTTGTGAATTTCATAAAATATGTGAATAAAAAGTGAGTTGACAGTTTATAAGAAAATCATAAACATTAGCCAAACATTGAGTTAGAGAAGAAAGGTCCGGTATTTGCTTGATAATGTCTGCACATCAAAATAACTCATAGATCTATGTGCTTTATGTGAAATCTTGATTAGGGGAGTGAAAAACTTACTCAAATAAGATTAACAAGATCTGGACATTCATTATCAATTTATTATGTCAGTTTTGGCTTTCTTGATGTACATAAGATAATATTTGTTGTGATTCATTTTCCAAAGAATGGTATTAGAGCC